ACTATGACTATAGGAGCCGAACATATAGTGAAACGTCATAGCGGTCTCACGATCCGGGTCACCCCCAGCTTTCGGATTTTTGAACTTTGTCGTCGTAATCCAACTTTAGTGGTAAGCAACAGTGTGGTGTTCTTGCTTTTTACCAGAGCCTTACGTGATTCACTACCCCAAGCCCCAGGTCTTAGGTTTATATTTGTGATAGGAGGACGGCAGGTTATTGTACTTATGGGGTTCTCTTTCTAATTTCACGCAATGTTTAAGAAAATGTGTTACTCATCAATTTCTTTCTGATAAATGTAGCACTAAGGTCAGACCGTCATCTAGCTAGAAGGTATGCAAAATGGCCAGTAGTGTATTCCTGTGGACATTCTAATCTTCCTTCTTCCCCTTTTGTCTAAATGGTTAATCGAAAGACAAGATAACAAAAACTGCCGCGTGAAAGTGGATGGTTGCGGAACTAGTATGTTCATGATGTTCAATAGAAAAGAGAGCGTGCTCATATACACTCATCGTGGCTGTCCTAGTAAAATTCTTAATAGGAAACCGCGTACTCGAATGTCACATCTCATGCTTAGTGGATTTGACGCCCCCAAAATGGATAACACAACAAAAAACTGAGGTGGATATGCAGGTGATTGGTCTACGTACAGGCCGTCTCGTGAGCAGTACGTAACATGTCTGTTCGTACAGAACTTTAAAGAGCACACTCTGTTACAGCACGCTTGACTTCAATGGTAACAAATTATTACTTCTTCCTAAGTAAATGCTGAGCTTTCTTGACTGTTTGCGAGGAAACCCTAATTGTGTCTATGAGTAGCTTATAGGGGAATGCTCAGGATGACCACCACGAGTTTCAGCTATAGCGTGCTTAGAACTTCGTGAGAATAAATGGCGTATCGAAAGCGAAATGTCTAACGTGTTGCGAGTAGAAGTACATAGCAGTTGGCGCTTTGGAGAACATCAGAGCTGCGTAGCGTGTGAATTCCTGGAGTTGGTAATAGGTTTATTGCGTCATCTACGGACCGAGCTACTACATTGAGTGTTGCCTCGATTGGTGATGAAACGTTTGCAATACAATTGCCAAGCCCGGCGAACAGCTGAAAATCAAGTCATATTACCCGAGCTGCAAAAACAACAATGAATACTGCCATAAATATGTATACCGCATCTAACCCAGTTACTTGTGAGTAGTACTTTACTATTTACTTTTGAGCGACTTACACCTGCAGTAGGACAAGCCGGGTTGTTGGATGTTTCTAATGATGGCAGCCCATGCACGACGATCGGCAGTAAGATTGACGCAGTGAGACCCAGTTCTGGTTCCAGTTAGAAATTCCAAGTCCGCCTTGATCGTACTGCTCCTGGTCTTCAGTTGACCACCGAATGGACAACGCTACCCACGGCACGGTACAGGGGCTAGAGCCTGCCGCGAGAGTTGAGTGCCAAGCCTTCGGAGCACATGGCCCAACCATTGAAGGCACCGGCATTATAGTACTCTCGAAAGATTGTCTATGTTCTAGCAGCGCCGTCGAACCTCATCATTGGAAATCCAATCTCTCCAATTTACTTTCTAGATGCAGCGTAAGCACCAATGATCCAATACCTTGAGCTTTTTTGTATCTTGAACTCTTAGCGGCCATGTTTCACATTAATAAATGATGGGACAGATAGAAGCCTGAGAAACCCGAAGCGTAATGCTCACGCTTATTTCGCGCCGATTCCATAACGGTTTGAGGAGAGCTCTTCTAGAGCAATACACACGAAGTTGGATTTCATCCTTAGCCTGGCTGTCTGGTCTGATTGTAGAGCCAAGATACTTGAAAGCTTGGGTTTATTCGACACGCTCCCTGTTAATCGAAAGGCGGCAGAAGTTTCGATCGGAAATGTAGTTTTTGACATGTTGATCTCTAGCCCAATGACTTGGGCAAGTCGATTAATGAAACTGACATCAGGTTGGAGGTTGCCATGGTGTCCGCAAACCCGAGGTCTGCAATTATCCGCTTGTGAGTAGTGTGGGATAATCTATATCGATCTGAACTGACCATCCTTCAGACCTCATCTTGATGCACAATCCTGTGTTCTTCCAGTCAACCATACACTCGAAAGCACTGGACTCAAGTTTCGCTCTTATTAGAGCTCGTCAGTATCCCACAGTGCTACTACTAACAACTAGCTGTGATTTAAATGTGAATTATTACCCACACCTAGTAGGTTTTGTGGCAAGTCAGCCCTTAAGCTGTATATAAGACCTCGTTTTGTGAGAGGTTTTCGATTGGAGTTAACCCATAGTCAACTGTCTCCCCTCGTCGCTGTCGGGCATAAATGAGCTACCTGACTATCACTGAAGACGAAACCTGAATTGCCAATTCCGTTCAGCTCTGAAATAAGCTGGTCGCCACAGTGTAATACACGTCCTGAGTTCAAAGCCCAGAGGAGACGGTGGATATGCACTATTAATGAGATCTAATGAAGACGAAACTCAAGTACAGCGCTTTCAGATGGGTTTTCTCTACGGTCATGATTGCGAATAAATGAAGTGGTTGGACGAATTTTCGGGGTTCACACTAACTTTTCGTAAAGGCACGAACGTTTTATTCTGAAGACTCAGGTAGATTGGTAAGTTTATCGGGAAAACTTAAACATTATTTGTTAGAAATCCCTATTTTAACACTTTTGAAGTCAGCTCCTGTTGCACATATTCAAGGAATATGCGATTTACCAATGCTGTGGTCAGAGATGTACTAAAGATTTCACCATTATGCTAGCCAAAACCCATGACTGCGAAAATTTTGATGAATTTCATTGTAGTTTTGTGCATGTAAACAACCTTGACTTTAAAAAGCTTAAACATTAAATTTCATGCAAACTACAGGAACGTTTTCCTTGGTGAACAATGCCATCGAATCGAATACGTCGCGGTACTTTGCCGTAGTACATCTCGCGGGAAAGCAGTTCAAAGTTACCACAGACGATCTAATTATGGTTAAGACTCCTTTATTCGGCGCAGATGTAGGAGATCATTTGCGTTTGGAAAAGGTTCTCCTACTGGGAGCAAAGGACTTTACTTTGATCGGACGGCCGTTGCTGGATAAAAATACGGTTAACGTAGAAGCCGTGGTCGTCGAGAAAACGCTGGAACATCCGCACCTGTGNCCTGTGGTTTCAGTTTCACCGAAGACGTAGACACAGAAAGATGAGAGGTATGTTGTCAACTATTGTCCCAGGTCGAAGCTCACGCTGATTCTTTTTTTAGTGTTTCAAGATAACGTGGCTGTGTTACGGATTCTGAATATTTCTGCTTCCCCAATAACGAGTGGTGTACAATAGTCCGATTCTATTCTGCATTATAGCAAATAAATATGTATATTTACCTGTGATTGTACGCCTCTTGACTTTCAGCTGTCTCGTGGAAGCAGTTAAGGGTGTTAGTCCCCATCTTTCGACTTGATTTCCATTGATTAAAATCTCGGATCATACCTGCAACAGTGTAATTGCACACTAAAGTCAACCGGCTTCAAAACAAGATTGTTTTGTTATAGTTGATTCTACTCCTATCATGGTACAGGCAACCTGTAGATATAAATACATTAAGTAACTGTGGTCGCGAAGACAGCATACCTATCTTCAAAACTGAAGGACAGTGAGGTTGAACGTAGTTTGCACCATGAGATGATCTCCTGGTTAGGCATGGTGGCTTCCATAAGTATTTTTTAACCACTGAACGAAGATAGATTTTCACTCGAAGCGCCATTTTATCCTTCTTATTTTCGAAACACTTGGANTTATGTGTTCACTTTTCTCTCACTCAGTTCAAAGATATCAGAGGTAATCGAAGTGTTCCCCCTCCACGATCAAGTCTAAAATCTAATAATAACGGTCTTCAAACAGGAGAGATAATAAATATGGTTTTACAGCTAATTTCGTGTGGTCATTTATATCGAAAATACTACAGATAAGATACAGATAGTCAGTATATGAATTAATAAGTAACAGTTGAGACCAGCCGGATAACTGCGTCTTTCAAGAGGAATATACAGGTATCCACCGATAGCTTCACTGCTGAGGACGGTCTGCTTTTCGGCCCAGCAAGCGGTGAAAGAATGTTGTAGGAGAATGCATAGCCAATGAGTTACGCGCAGCTGGGATAGATTCGTTATGGTCTACAGCCGTGCTGCGATTTCTTTCAAGCCAGTCAAATAACATTGTTTCATTGGAAATCGGCCCCGGTTGGACAACAGGACTGGGGGTTGTGTTAGACACAGGCAATGCCTGTTTACCTCGCAGACGCGGATCGCGAGATGAGATTTGCACCTCGGTTGGTCTGGATACCGGAGATAGTGATGAATCGACTGTTACGGAAAGCTGTTTTTGTAAAACCGGGGGACGGCGTTCAGCCACTGGCGGAGAAACTTCTGTTACGGACGGATTTACCACTTTCGTCTCCAAACCCAGTGGATCGTAGAAAATGGAGAAATTCGGCTGTACCGGGTGATTACTTTGTGTAGTCGGTATCTGAATGTGTGAATTGAAAAAGTTGCTTTTGGATTAACGACATTTTACAACGGTGCAAAACACGTTCCACAATGAAAACTAATCTAGAAAAAGAAAACTAACAAAATGACTAGTGTGAGTGCATGAAGCCCTCCTCACTTGAGGTGAAGATAATAAAAACAGGGACGAAATACCGAGGCATACCTTATTCACTCACTTGTGGACGTATTCAGCTTCAGATGGCGAATAGTTTTAGAAATCATATTAGTTGACTGTTCAGCTTTATCATTAATAAATAAACCGTGCCGAATAGAAATGACAACCGATCACCTTAAATTTCTTCAAAATAACCAATGCAATAAAATCAACATTTTCAGAGCTGGAAAAGAAGGGTTTTGTTAGTCAACGATAAAGAACCAAAAACAAGAATTGCTGTGAACGCGGTTTTTGACAATCTTCTGACTAGAAATTCTTTTTGGATTCTTTCTTACCCAATCAAGATCAGTTTTGGGTACCCAAAAGGTGGTTGACATCAACATTCATTTACGGATTCATTACTTTGAGTTCGATGTACAAATTTCTAGATAACATGCATTCCAGTTTTGGGTCGTATACCTGTTAACTCAATTTAATTACGTCATGACAAATGAAATGCAGTTTGGTATTAGCCGCGGTTATTGATTCAAACGCAGGGTATCACAATGCAGAGTTGAATTCGAATAACGTCATGGGAGCTAAGAGAACAGTTGTTTACAGCATCAGTTTTTACGATTCCGGTGTTAATTTTAGCAAATATCGTCCTCATCATTATTGTACAGTATAAAACAGTGAAGCGAACTTCATTGATCGCTGCTAAACTCATATTGCATACAAGGTAAGTGAGAATTTTTGATAGGGATTGGACTTAATTTTAAGGACGGGAAAAGAAAGCAAACCTACATGGTCAACACAGAGTAAGGAGTTCAACTATGCACACATACTATTTCAAGCATTCTGGTCTGATAAGAAGTAACAGGATGATCGCCATTGCTGTCGGTTCGCAGCCGTGACCTTCAGTGTTTCCAACCATGCGGTTTCGGAGTCTTTTAACATACACAAGACGTATCCTAACCAACGAAGACTATTGAGCTGGATTCGATGCGCTAGCGAGTTCGTGTTTGATGTATTCCCAAATACCCGACGACTTACTTCTAGATTACTAACCCGCTCACTTCATCCCACTTGGGCCACAGTACGTAAGCATCGATTGTCGAAAACCACTAGGCGACGGATGTCTTCTACCAGTAAATTAAAGGCTTCACAACCGTAAACCAGAACTGGTCGTATAGTGGCCTAATACACACGACTTTTCAACTTCAGTGAAACATCATTTCGTCGCCACAGGTGTTTCAGTCCTACGTACGCTGCTCGAGCCTTGCAATTTTGGGCAGTTATCTCCTTTGATGCGATACCGTCGTTTGTCACGCAGCTACCTAAGTACGAGAAGCAATCAACGTCATCCAATTCCTGACCGTCGAGTTTCAGAGCAGGATTCGGCAACACCCAGTCTTCTAGCATCGCTTTGCACTTTGAAGGTGCAAAGCACATGCCGAACGGAGTGACAGAACTTGCTAGTCTGTCAAGTGCTTTTTGTGCATCCTCTATAGATTCGAACAGGCATACGCTGCCGTCAGCGTACTCTAGACCGCACAGCGTTTCTCCGGCTTCCCGTTGAATGCCAACGTTGTGGAGACCACTTAGAGTGTTCTCCAGTATTTCGTCTATGACAAAATTGAACAGGAATGGCGAAAAAGGGCACCCTTGACGAATACCGCTGCCAGTTACGGACGACCTACTCAGCTCGTTGTAGACCCTTACGCTACCAGAAGTATGCGAGTAGAGCGAACTCAGTATGC